ATAAGGAAATAATAAAGGATATTGCAATGGATCATAAGCACCATGTAGTTCAGAGATTTTTTGTAACTTTCCTGTATATGTTTTAAGTAAAATATCTCTTTTTTGAATTACAGTATTTTTATAATTTTCTAGAATAATTGCTGCAATTTCTGGTACTGTTGGTTTATTGTATTGTCTCATATCCTTTCTATGAGTACTATGAATTGTTAATATTAAATCAGGATAATTATCTGCTTCAAATCCTGTTTGATAAAATACATTAACAAATGGATTAATTTCATATAATTTATTTTGAATTGCTTGAATCATATTTTTATTTAATATTGGCATTAAATTTATTTGTCTTGTTACTTGATTATCCAAACTTGAATCATAAAAATAAATTTGTGCAAAATTTGGATCATGTCTTCCTTCAATTTCTTTAAGTATTAAAGAACTAATTTTATGATATAAAGCTCCTTGTATTCTAAATATATAAACATCTTCTTTTGCATTTGCTAATGTTTTATCAAGATTTACTTCTAAAGAAATAAATGCAAATACTGAATTATATGCTTGAATTTGTTCTACAAATAATTTATTAATATTAGGATCATTTGTTGTTAGTAAATTATAAAGCATATTTGGAGCAGATGCAAGTAATGCAATTTTAACTTGACCATTTATACAACAAAATGAATTTGGTTCATTTTTCCATTTTAATGCATGACAATAATTACAAATTATATTCATTGCTTTAATTGTTTGACATCCAGCTTCAATGTCATTACCTTTAATCTTATTTTCATTATAATTTTCAAGTTCACATTGACTAATTTTATAAAATTGTTCAATTTGTTGTTGTCAAACTTTTTTCATATTTTCTTGATTTTTTCTTTTAATTTCTGTTTTTTGTTGTTTAGTTTGTAAAGCTTGATATTTTTGTATTCTAAGTTTACTTGAATGAGTTTGTGATTCAGTAAAAGAACTTGGTTGAGATACTTCTTGAATTAAATGTAGATTTAATTTATAATATTTATTAGTAGCATATCGAATAAATACTAATCAATTTGTTTTTTCACGTGATATTTCATTTTTAGAAGCAGGATTAGCATCAAGAATATGTTGAGGAACAGGTTTTGTATTTTTAGGAGGCATTTTAAGATGTCAATAAAATT